CAGCCTTTAAGCTTCCACCAGTTGGTGCAACATCCCCAGACATACGAGCAGAGACTGAGTGCTCCCGGCTGAGTCTCTGAGAAATCTCGCCAAGCATGGCTCTAGACCTCAGAACATCCTGTCGGCGTGACTCCCGCAGGAAGGCTCCTGGGTCGGGACATGCGGAGCCTGAACGCGCCCGAGCACCTGGGTTCCCGAAGCGAGGCGGGTCCTCCGGGCTCCCGAGCTCCGCGCTCGGCGTCTTTCCCTACAGCAACACCTCCTACGCTCGGCAGGAGCTGCAGAGACTCCAGAAGGCGTTTCACCGGTGGCTGCGGCCGGAGCAGCACAGCAAGGACGAGATGATTGCCCAGCTGGCCCGGGAGCAGCTCCTGATGGACGAGCGCCGCAGGGACAGGTCCGTGTGGAGGGAGGAGTGGGATTCAGGAGGCAGAAGCCTGGAGAAGTTCATGGAGGATCTGGCCGATGACTGCATGGAGCCGCCCGGCTATGTGAGCACAGGGGTCCTGACCTCGGGGTGGGGGTGGGGGGTCGCCTGGAAGCAGAGAAAGACGGGTTACTGCAGGAGGGGCTCCTGGCCAGATCACAGCCTCCCCCCACGCCTCCTCCCCACGGAGCAGCTCCTCATCCTGAGTCAAATGGAATGAAACAAAGTGTGATGAGCGTTCGCTCTGTGGGACACACGGAAGCCAGACACATGGGTTGGCTGGCTGACCTCATTAGTTCATTTTAGCTCCAGGGGTGGTAGGGGACTCTGAGAGACTGACGTTTGACCAGAGACCTCAAAGGTGAGGAAGAAATGGCTTGACAAGAACTACTGCATCCCTCAGGAAGCCTTCTGGTCATTTCTAATAACCAGGGAAGACATAGCCATGAGGCAGTGACCATAACATTTGACACCATCAGCGATAAGGAGAGGACAAGGAGCTGTGGCCACCACCAGTTGAGGGATCCCTGGGAAGTCTGGCCACAACACGTTTCCCACATGACAGGCATTAATATGACACTGACCATGCTTTGTTTACAGGTCCACGTCTACATGCAGGGACAGGAAGCCCTCTTTTCAGAGAATATGCCCTTAAGAGACGTCATTTTTCACCTCACAAAACAGTTGTCAGCAGGTACCCCAACAGGAAAGAACACGGGCACTCCCATTCAGACTCCCCAAGATCCTTCCACACAAACAGGATGCGGTGAGTGAGGGGAATCTGAATGCTGGGGGGGTGTTGTGTGTGGACCCTTCAGGGGTGCAACTTCATGGATTCGTCCCTTTATTTTCACAGGAGGCAAAGATAAAGACAGCAGCAACCTTTCTTTGAAAACTCTGCATGAACATGGCGGTATTAGCAGCCGATACGGTCAAGTGCCTTCACTACGGATTATCCAGGAAGAGACCTGTGCCAAACCTGGAAAGGACAACCCAGAAACCTCCAGAGGAGTAAGCCTGGGCACCTCCAGGCCCCAGGAAAGGGCCCTGGGAGGAGCCGCTCATCAAGATGTCCCCATGGAGGTAGAACCACGACTTATCTCCAGGCCAGATCCAGCCACCTCTGAGGCTGCCCCCACCCACCAGAGCAATGGCGGGAAGTCCCCAGGTGGGGGCCACCAAGACAGATTTCACGAGACCCCAAAACCATACAGATGTGAAGACTGTCCCAGGATCTTTAGGTATCTCTCTCAGTTAGAAGCCCACCAGAGAAGACACAGAAACGAGAGGCCGTTCATTTGTACCGAGTGCCACAAGGGCTTCTTCCAGACGTCAGACCTGCGGGTGCACCAGGTGATTCACAA